CCAAAACCCTAAACCCTAAACCCTAAACCCTAAACCGTGGATTCATACACATGTACAGCCATGATTCCATCCATCCTGTGAGTCGGCTCCAGCTCCTGCAGAGTGCCCCCTTTGCGTCGTCTCCTCACTTCTGTGCATTTTAGGGTTTGGGGTTTAGGGTTTAGGGTTTAGGGTTTAGGCGCTGACCCTGCGGCGACATCGGAGGTGTCCATGGGGGGTTTAGGGTTTGGGGTTAAGGGTATAGGCTTTAGGCTTTAGGGTATGGTGCCTTAGTTTGAGGCATCACCTTGTGTCGATTATTCCTAGTCCTAGCTTTCCCGCATACGTATCCTACGTACTTGGTGTCCTGTCTTGCTGCTGTCCTCGGGTCAACCGAGGTCACGGAGCCGCCGTCACTGCAGCTCTGCGCCAATTCTGCGCGAAACCGCAGCCGTCAAAGCTCTGAGTTGAGCGGCAGGAAAAATATCATTACATAGCATATATTCGATTTTACTATGACCCATTATAACAGAAGATATTATTACAGAATGGCATATATTCGATTTTACCATGATCCGTTATAACATGATATGACACGGTATGTGCTTGCAATCATATCTCGGCCGAAGCTCTGGCAGCACTTTCGGAGTAGCAAGAACCCTGTCAGGAACACGGTAACGGCATGTGGGGATTCACATTTTACACATATTCAATTGCTCTTTCAGAGCACAAGACATACACCCGATGCCTTCAACCCTAAAAGCACGGGATTTCAGAACGTACCTCCCCTTCACCGAAAATCTTCAGGCAAACAGCCCTCCACCTCGTGGCCGAAGCCTAGAAGGAGCCATATTCCTGAAAAGCTTGGTGGTTTCAGCTGGTCCGTGCCGGCGAACTTGGAGTTGCCAGAATCTCCAAGCCTCCCAACCCTTAATGACTCAACCACTAAACTCTTAAACCCTGAACCCCAAACCCTAAACCCAAAACTGTTAAACCCTAAGCCCCCACCCTGAGCCACTCACGCTCATCATCGGGGTTTGGGGTTCAAGCTTTCGACTTTAGGGATGGGAGCTCCTGGTTGAAGGTCCGGTCAGAAAAAGTACTATCGGGGCCTTAATAATCAGAATAGGGTTTGGGGGTGTATTATACTATAACTATAATTAATAAGGTACCCCCCAAAAAAAACACCCTATTCTAATTAGTAAAGGCCCCTGCATTACCAGAAGTGGGCGTTGTTGATCACGAACACCGCAGACTGAGACAGTCACTCGGCATCAGCAGCAGAATCGCACTGCAAGTAGCTGACAGGCACCACAAGAGACATGCAGCAAAGAATACGGCTTTGCTACTTTGAGCTTCTGCAGCTTAGCGCCCTCCGAGCACTTGGCTCGGGGCCACAGGTCAAGAGGAGTGCAGAGAGGAAAAATCCTGACACAGAGCAGTCTTAGGACTTCGGGCTTGCAGTTTTGTGGATGTTGCAGTTTAGGGTTTAGGGTTTAGAGTTTGGGGTTTAGAACTGTTTAGGGCTTAAAAATACAGTAAAGCCTCCCAGTAGCTGAGTAGGTGACTCTTTGCCTACCCTGCGCACAGGGACGGGTCCTCTGCAGCTATGCCTTTGCGGTACGAGCTCGCACGGCTAAAGGTTTAGGACAGGTGCAGGGTCTCAGAGTTTCTCCTCTATCATTTGAGATTTGGAGGTTCGGGGCCCGAGAGGTTCAGAGCTGCAGGGTTTCGAAGGTTTAGGGTTTAGGTTTAGGTTGCCGAATTTTTGTATGCAGTGGTTGGGGATTGGGAAGATTGATCGGAGCCGCAGGTGTGCGGTTCGGGTTGCAACTGTTTCGAGTTTCTGTTAGGGGTTAGGGTGTAACTCTAGGGTTTGAGATTTATGTTTCAGCCCTCAGAGCTTTTACAAGTCTGAATGTTTGAGGTTTCCGGGTTCAGGGCTTGCTGCATTGCAGGAAAGGGCTCTGGGGTTTGAGGGCTCGATGGCTCAGGAGTGAAGAGTTCGAGACTTCAGCGCTAAACCCTAAACCCTAAACCCTAAACCCTAAACCCTAAACCCTAAACCTTGGAGCTTGGCTGGAGTTTTCCGGGCCTGAGGCGAGGTCTGAGCGTTTGTAGCTCCCGGCACTTGCTGGCCGAAGACGGTGCGCTTCAAATTTCAAAGGGTTTTAGGTTTTAGGGTTTAGGGTTTAGGGTTTAGGGGGCTTCGTCTTCGGGTTTCTTTCGATCATGTGCGAAACAGACGGAATCCAATGCTCATTCCTGAACCGTACTAGTTCTGCTGGCTTGGACCCTGTTTTTCCCTGGGAGGTCGCTGCAGATGCAGCTGCGCGAAAGCTGCTGGATGGTCGCACGGTGAAGTCTGGTCCCCATTCGTTTCAAGAGTTTATACTAGCGTCGCCTATTTCTGAGCATCCCACATCTTCTTTGCCGTTGTTGCTGTTTGGCTAGCGGCGGCTGCTATTGAATGTATCCCTACTTACTAGCCGTCGGCACTGCTTTTGGTAGCAGTAGTCAAGCTGTCTGCCCGAATCACGGCCCAATGACGTCCCTTCTAATACCTTAAACCCTAAACCCTAAACCCTAAGCCCTCCCTCGGGATTACGCCCGCGTGGCTCGCCTGGAGAGTCCGAGGGTAAGAAACGACACGCGGAACGGCGGAACGAACAGGCTCTCCGATTCCAGGCCCCTTAGGCCATCTTGCCACCAAACTCCAGCCTTGACTTGAATAACCAAAACCCTAAACCCTAAACCCTAAACCCTATACCCTAAACCCTAACCCCTACCCAAAGCCTTCAGACTAGTTGGGTTGAAAACGTCGCCTGAATCCCTGCCTGCTTGAGCGAGTGTGCGAGTCTTAGCCCTCAGACTCCTCGACCTCTGAACCCGCAGACCCACATCCGGCCGAATTTTAAGCCCAAAGCGGTTTAGGGTCTAGGGTTTAGGGTTTAGGGTATAGGGCAGTATAGGGTTTAGGGTTTAGGGTTTAGGGTATAGGGTTTAGGGTTTAGGGACAAGTTAGACAAAGCAACACCTTTAACTCACTGCTCCATGGCCGGAGAGGAAGGCCGGAGATAGCATCTGCCCAAGATTGCCCAAGCTTTGTGGCACTCGAAGGGTAGAGCTCCGGCTTCATGCCGCCTTTTTGATTGAGATCGCTTGGCCATTTTTTACTAGCTTCCGAAGCGTCGCCCGTTTGTTGGGCGCGAAACTCAGCACGAAACTTCCGTGTGCTTCTGACCCCACCCGTCGATCGATACTGCTTGTGCTTCGGTTCTGCAAGCCAGCCTGTGAGAGAAGCAGTGCGCCGAAGGCTTGGATCTTCTTAGACATCATCATTGCGGTAGGGCCAGGTGCTGAGAGGGGACCGTGCGTGCACTCAACGTTGAGGTTAGAGGGGCATTGGGGACTTCCATCACTGACAGATGTATGCTTGTTGGTCTGAGGGGTCACGCACGATTTTGTCTATTCAATGTATAGTTTTCTAAACCGTGGTTGTGTTGGATTTCGGAGGGATATCCGATGGATACAACCTATACTTGTGTTTCTTGTATTGTTTCCCAAACCCTCTCGTAGTTGCCCCAGCCCCCGCATTAGGGACTCTCCAGCCGGGCAGGCCTAATCGCTTTTGGAACAGCAGGGGTTCCTTGCACAATCCATCATGCCTTTCGCAAGTCTCGGCCGTTCGTTGCGTTTTTGCATCAGTGGCTTGTGCCAAGATGGAGGTAGCCAGGTTCTCGTGCAAAGAGGACCGAGATACAAGCTTGCAATTTCCCGCAGCAGAAGCATACCAAACAGGGGCCAAGCACGACAGCTTTGGCGGTAGTATCTGCGCGCACACGATCCCGCTTCCTCTCGTAGGTTTCAATTGCTATGGCTGCTATGGTTTGCATGGCTGACCGCATGTCCATAATCATCGTTCTACTGGCGCTGCGCTCGACTCTTGGCAGCTGCTCACGTGCTTTCCGCACGCGGCATCCCAGCTGAATCCAACTCCCAGAGGGGCTAAGCCTTTAAGCCCGTTTCCGGCTCTGAACATTGAAGTAGTCGAGAGCGCTTCTATCAGTCTTGTGACTGCGGCCCTGCGAACCTTATCGGACAGCGAAAGCAATATGATTGGCTCAGTGTTTTCACGTCTCTATAGTTTGTGGGCTTCCTCTTTGATTCTTTGATGCCACTGACATGAGGAGGGAGTTGCGCGAGGCTGTGGTTGCTTGGGCAAATGGTTCGGCAGGACGCTCCGGCAGGGTCAGTTTTGGGTCTTGAGGCAAAGTTTCCGACAGGCATCTGAACACAGGAGCCCCAAGATTTCGCGATGATCCTGAAGCGTAGTAATAGTAACACCGCGCTATCCCCCAACACTAGATCGCTGATGGCTTTTGTCCTTCCGGAATCCTCGCTTCGGTATGCCTCGTCAAATCGCCAGGGCCAGATTTGATCAAAACGGGGAGCCCGGGAAGCTTCGGGTCCAGTAATATAGGTAGTATAGGGTTTTATAGGGTTTAGAAGGGTGTTCTAGGGAAACCCCTTGTTTGATACGGCTCCTGCATGGATGGAACGTCCTCCTTGTCCACGTCATCCTGACCGCGGCAAGCTTGTTTCAACATACGCTGCGACTGGTGCATGCCTCAACGTCAGCTCGGTGTGGTGCGGAATGCAAGAAGCAATATTGCTTTGGCATTGCTACTGCTACTTGCCCATACACTAGGCATCTGAACGTCTGCATTGGCAAGAAGGAGCCTCGAGAACTGTAGCCGGCTCAGCGGCCACGATCAGCTCGTTGTCCTAACGTGCAGCACGGGCTGCTCGGCTGTTCGGAGTCGCAGCGGTCTTTGCACCGTGTCTGGATTACTGTCGCTTTGCGAGGTTGCGCGAGGGGTTTTGTAGTGCGTTCCATGTTCTATATAGAATCCGAGCTTTATTCTAACTCCCCTATACTTCCTTTCTACGCCCTGCACCTCGACCTCCGAAAGACGAAAGTATCTGCCGTTCTGGCAGGACGGAGGGACCTTGCGGTGATGTACGGCGATGTTTCGAACTGGGATGTTTCTGGCGTGAGCAACATGAGCGGTTTGTTCCAGGACGCCCAATCAAACATCTGAAGGTTCAGGGCATACCGTGCGGCATACCTCTAAAATGTTGGAGCTGTTGCTGCTTGAACCGGTGCTCGATAGTGCTCCCTGAGGACCTTTCCCTGTTCAACGAAGATCTCCGTCTATGGAATACTGCAGCAGTGACGGACATGCGCGGAATGTTTGAGAACGCCCAGTCCTTCAATTTGCCCATTGGGGCATGGGACACATCAGCTGTGATGGACATGAGCAGGATGTTCAAGGGAGCTCGTGCCTTCGACCAGCCGATCGATTCGTGGAACACCTCAGCTGTCACGGACATGCGTGGGATGTTCCTTGATGCGCACGCCTTCAACCAACCAGTTGGCTCATGGGATGTGTCCCAGGT